AAACTATGCGAATTAGCTGCGAAATATTTTCGCAGTCATAAATTTGCAAGGTTGATATATAGCCATGCGAAAAGAAGGCGCATAATCATCGTAAATTATGCTGCATTCGATTTGTATATGCGATTATTAAAAATGCGAAAGATGTTCGCAGATTTGTAAATTATGCGTTTTGATGTGGATATACGATTAAATAAACGCGAAATGTTTACACATAGTCAGAAATTATGCGGCCGATTGGATATGTGCTGGTTCATTTTGGACATGCGAGTGCAATATCGCATAGCATTTCGTGAATTTTGGGGTGTAAAAGAAGTTATTTGACGGGGTGGTGTGAAAAAGAAAGAATAGATATATAATGGGGTGAAAAAGATTTTGACCCATTTATAAATGCACTCAACACCACTCATTTCAAACTCTTTTTTTTTTTATTATTATTAATATTACACGAACTTTTTTTTTATACGTAATTTTATTCATTAATTATTTTTAGTTATTTTTTATCTCTTTGGTGATTGTGACTGAATTTTTTTAATCACAAAATCAAATTTCTAATCTACTCACCCTATTATCAATCAATCAATTATTATAATTTTCGTTCATTTGGATACATTTTTAATTTTATTTTTTTCATTGAGAATCATTCTCACTAGAATCCATCCACACACCCACACCCACACACGCACATATATATTCACTCGAAGGCCCCGGGCATGTACATATAATAATAATAATCGTATAATTAAAATGAACATGAAGGTAGAATTCTCCATTCAATTCATTTGGGGAAATTTACATATATAAATTCTATATTACAAATATTATCATATATACGATTTTAAAAAAGTTTAATCAAAATGGGACTTAATGTTGGTTTTCTTTTCACAATTACGAGATTTATTCTATCACCTCTTGATTTCCTTCTATCTCCAACCCATAAACACGGAATTAATTTCCCAAAGACTTTGTCTCTCTCCAAGATTTCTCTCTCAATTAGGATTTGTTTATCTCTCCACTTAAAAATTATGCATTTAATTCAATTATGAATAAATATGTTTTTCTCTCCAATTAAAAATCATGCATTTAATTCCATTACAGAGAACCAGCAAGCAAAAAAATCGAAAAAAAAACAAATTTGAAGCTTAGAATTAAGGGATTGAAAAAAAAAAAAAAGTTCTTCGTGATCTGTATATATATTCAGATATACTGTATATATACATCAGATAAACATGATATGACAGTTTTCCAATAATAACCTTATATATACATAAGATAAACAACATATAAACAAAACTAAAAATCAGATAAACATAATATGACAGTCCTCTAAAAATAACCGTATATATACATAAGATAAATGACATATAAACAACACTAAAAAGGATAAAACATAATACACAATTGACAGTTCTCCAATAATAATCGTATATAGACATAAGATAAACAGCATATAAACAACACTAAAATGGGATAAAATATAATACACAATTCTCAATGACTGCAAAATCTAAATCGAATATAGTTATACATAAGATAAACAATATATGTCTATTTTACATGACATTTACAAAATTCAACCAACAACTTTGCGTACTCTAAAAAAAACACATTATAGATTATGTATAACTAACGTATAATTTGTGTATATGTTCACTACACTCCTTTGTGGTGCCGCGCACAAAATCGGGAACTACACTTTTCCTCTTCGGTCATCTGCACCGGCATGCCCAATCGGACGCCTCACCTTCTTCGAGATATCAGTGACGACGTACAACAACACCGTCGTGAAAAACAACAGATTCACTCCTTCGATTCGACAACGCCTCCGATTCCAGAAACAGTTAGTGATTCTCTTCGGTGAGGATGAACATACAAGGTTGTACTTGTACCTATACCATCAATAAACATAAACCCATATATCCCCAAATCCAAGCATGAACCTTCCAAATCCCTAGCTTAACAAAACAAAAGGGCTTCAGGCCAAAACAATTATTAGCATAAACTTCTCCCATTTGAAAATCCCTATTGTAAAAACCATTAGTCACCTTCAAATCAATCAGTAAACATAACACTCAATCTCGAAAACCATATTCAATCTCGAAAACAAAATTCCAATAAAAATCAATCTCGAAAATCAAGAACAAAAAGAAAAACTAAAAAATTTAAAATCAAAAATACAAATCTCAATAAATTATCAAAACAAAGATAGAGGATAGAGAGAGCGAGTCGGAATTTACTTGGCTTCTCCGGCCGGCCGTCGACCGTCTTCACTTTTGACGGATTTGGCTTCGAATTTTCTTCGCTCGGCCATTGAAGTTTTCAGACAGAGAGTAGCTTTTGTGTTAGGGAAGATGGTTATTTTAGCTATTGCGTGCGAA